GAATCGATTCAATGGAAACAAATGTGGTTGAATGAACAGCATAAGTGTAGCTTTCGTTGGCTGTCATTTCACTAATTTGGAGTATTTCCTCCGAGAATTTCTGTGTCAATGGTTTTCAACCGAAAATAGAATTTTCCAATGAATCGACTTTTTCGGCTACCATTCCCACGATCAATACAACAATTTTCCCAACCTACTAAATCTGTATAATTTGAAAATTTTAAAGTCGGCCAACCCCGAATAAAAAGGCATAAACTTTTTTTTTTCAACTTTGCGTGTTCAATTTTCCGACTCATTGTTTTTCTCTTCAGCAATTAATATATTTAATCAAGATAAATTGCCTTATCAGTTATCGACAGGCATACTCAAGACCAATATGTTTTTTTTCCTCGTCACGGAGTTTGTACACGTTATTTAACATCAGTTAATGGGACACAATTCACATGTAAACATGTCGAAGTATCAGTACCGGTTCTATCCTCTTCACTTACTTAATTATTTTAATTAAAACGAAATTGAGCAAAGCAATGGAAATTCCTGTCCCAAGGTTCTTCTTTTTCGTTTTTGTTTCATTTTCTATGTGTCACAACTTTTTTGCTTCGAACGAAAGAAAAACGAAACCTTTGACAAATCTACACAAGGCGACCTTGAAAACTTTTGTTGAAACAGTCGACAAACTTGAAAGATTATCTGTTCGTATATAGCTTAGTCCATGGTGCTCTCATTCAATTTGCTTCTACTTGCCCGCCATTGAAAGCGGCAGCCCATTCAAGTATGCACTTAATTACCGTAGTTGGAATTGTTGAATGGTTGCACTGGATATCGTGCCGTGCGTGTGTGTGTGTCCTCGCTTGCACCTTATTTCCAATTATGTCTGCGAATCATTGCATTTTTAATTTTGCCTTTGAACCCACTTCAACGCGACGACGCTGTTTGTGGTCACTTGCAAAAGCAAATTGAATACTCTCCACAACTCGACGAGCCTAATGGAATTAAAAAAGCATTAAATCTGGTATATCCTTTGCCAATTTACCTTTTGCATAAAAACAATTTTTCATTGAATAGAAATTCTAATTCAGAAAATTGAAAGTAATTACAAATATTCATAACGACCATTTGTTCTGGTGGGTTCACAATTTTAAGAGGGAGATTATTCAAAAGGTCGTATCTATTTTCTGTGTTTAGCCCGTAGGATGTGTATTTAATTTGTGCATATACCATTCAGTTTATGGAATCATCATTTAGAAAGGGAAAAAATGTGCTTATGCAGTCGTTTATTTTTGGTGAAAAAAAAAAACGCAGACGATTGACAATTTATGGTGTCTCGCCAGGTGCTTTGAACTTTTTTTTACCACTTTATTAAAACGAAGATTTTTTTTTGTCGCAATTCAGCATGAGCGATTTTGAATGTGCAAAAAAAGTATCTACGAGATAATGCGTTATTATTTGAAACGCTTCGTCGAACATAATGGAATTTGCACAAATTTTCGACTTAATCCTTATTGATGTTGAAGTGATTATAGACTTACATGTGTGTCGTGCATTGAGAAGAATCCCTCGGAATTGCTTCAAATCACCTTCCACATAATACACGCTTTAACACTCAATTGTTCCAGCAACACAAGCACACAATTAACATACGAGTTTTGTCGGTTTCGATGCTGGTTAAAGCAAAGGTTGTGCGAATGCCGACTTGATCAAAGTATACGTTGCCATGCAGAATACAAAACGTGAAAATACCGTTTGTAATAAAAGTTGTCTAAATTTGGTGCTTTGGCTGTGGGTTTTTTCTTCTTCCAGGAAGCAGCCATTAGATCCGATATAGTGAAACCGCATTCGTAACCGAAAATGTGCATGCGATACACCTCATCGTTATTTTGCTTTAATCTGTGATGTGGTGAAAGCCACAAATGCTACTTTGTTCACGTGCGAATTCTTGACTTTTGCGCCGACGATAACGACGACAACTAAACCAAAACCAAAATGAAGATATCGACGAAAGCCAGTATCTGTGCGCACTGCAAAATACTTTGAAACAAAAGATCAACGAAACCGCATTCTGTAAATTCAATTACAGCATAATATAAGCTGGAAATGGGAAAAGTACATTTAAATGCGAATATCCAGTCTTAAGACACTTGAAAATTCTCTCGCTCAAAACGAATTTGGTCATGCAGAGAGTTGAAAAAAATGGAAGTAAATTTCAGCGATGCTTTTTCGAACCGAAATGAATAGAGGATGTATGCGATTTAGTAGTCACGACAACTATTATTATTCACACATACCAAAAATGCCACAATAAAGTTATCTAGCACCATTGGTGTGGCAAAGTCCGAAATCCAAAATGAAATACAGGAATTCCAACTAGTTTAAACTTTCATGGTGTTTTTCCAGTATTTATGGCTTTGACCGTTTCAAAGCTCCGCCGCTGTGGCAAAAGCCGCTTGCGGTTACTTTTTGAGGGAACTTCTACATAAATATTAGCCTTTTGCGAGCAGTTTAAAATAAATGCGTTCATGAGAGAAGAATTGTTCAAGCATGGCTCGGTCGTTCGCAATGTGTAAACATTGAATTTGCATTTCGTTTACGAGAGCGAGCGAGTGATCGTGCCCTGTGCGAAATGCCTCACTTCCATAAACGATGAATAATTCTGTGACAGCGATTAATGGAATGAGTGGGGAATATATCGCACGAGTAGCCGCAAGCGATTTTCTTGCTTTTCTTCTTAAATCAAACGATTTTCTTATCGCACCATACACATATATGCCATCATCGAATGCGAATGCGAATCAAATGTGTGTAAAAAGGGATTTATTTGCGATTACATTGCTTGAAAATTGAAATTACCCATGCAAAACGGCGACAACTGAGGCATACTCAAAGCAACTCCTCGTATTATTACAACTATGTGATCATGGGAGGAAGCAGAATAAAAAAATCAACACACACAGAACTTTTTCGAACTCACTCAGATGTCAAGGAAAAACCGCACCATGCCAGAAAGGAAAAGTAAATTGTTCTTTATTTCCTGGTGGTTTATATCGTTCACGTCTTGAATACGATTCCATTTTTACGATGAAAATACTCGGGATTTTCGCAATGCAATCCATTTCTTTGCGGATTTGCCCAATAAAATATAAATGATGACGCGAACATGAAGCGTATTAGCTCTCTCTCTCTCCCTCTTTCTCTTGTACACCCGCAGACACACACACACACATGAGAAAATGTGCGAACAACGAAATTCACAATTCAATGCACAGCCACTGAACTTTCTTCAAATATTCAGTGTTTACTTATCTTCATTGCGCTGCGTGAATGGAGCGCGGATTTTTCGAAAACGAAATAGAGGGAGAGAATGAGAAAAAAAAGAATACACAAGCTGAAAAATTACCAGCATCGCTCACGTTAAGGTAATAGGAATATGTGAATTTTTCATGAAACTCGGGCGCTAAACGATTGTTCTATGGTAATTGGAAAATTCATTTCGCGAACCAAAAGGGAAATATTTCGCGAAACCCACATATTTTTCAGCGATGTAAAGCAAATGGAATTTCGGTATGCAAACTGTATGACGATTAATGCAACGTACCCAATGCGCATAGCATATAAGCAGTTGAACATTTTTCATTCGTCGTATCGTTTGAAATTTTAATCAGGTCTGAAGCGGGCACTGGCATTCGATGAGAACTTTATTATAACCGCAATGCTATTACAGAGTGCATGCATGCATAGAGTACACGATACGAAAATGGGAGGGTGGGATTGTAAGACGTGCATCACCACAGTCAGAACTGACTTTAAATCCAAACACCAAGTCAGTAATTAGAACACGTGTTAAAGCAAGAGATTTGATAAAAATAAATACCATCTTCGCTTTATCACGATTGCTCATTTGGACTTTGTCGAATTCCGTTCGACGTGCAATAATAAAACCATTCCGCCACCATTTTTCCCGCCCTACGGTGAGAAACTGTCAAACGCTTTTCATGTGACATGAGCAAATAATAAAATTTCATCTGCATTTACTTAAAATGCCAACGCCAATTTTTTTTCTCGCTTTCTCGCGTATATGTATTTCATGCGCGACGTGAATTTGATTAAATAATAACTTGGCGTCGAATAAATTTGTTTGACATCTGCTTGAAATACTTGCTGTTCTCTTGGCTTTAAGTTAATTATGATTTGACAAAGGAATTTTTCGTCACATTCTAAAATTGTGTGCTGTGTGAGACGCTACTGTTTCTTTCAAATGCAAATTACGAGCAGAGCTTATGTGTGTGTGTGTGAGTGAGTCAGCTTCTTGCCACTCAAAACCATGTGAAATATTATGCTAATAAATTGTGTTACGCGCGTCTGTTACTTGTTCTTCATTTTTATTTTTGCTGCATCGGCGCGATTAACATCTGAAATATGTCACACGAAAACAGACATTCATTAAATGTGCACAAAATTGGTCATTAACTGGGCTCATTTTCTCCTCTCTTCGTTTCTCTCTATCTGTGCCATAAAATCCCATCATATTTCTTTGGCTCTTATTTCGTCTCGATTTGGTTAATTCGATTCCACAAAAGTCATAAATCTCATTTCGTTTTGACGACCGATATTGCGACGAACCGATCGGATTTTACAAATAGGATGATAAATTCATTTTTGTTCCTGTTCAACAGTACTTTTATTTAAAAATTACGAGTTTTTACGAGTTATACTCAGTCAATATAGAGTTTAATCTGAAATAATCAGATTTCATTCCAAGCTGACAACGTCAGATTGTAGATATAATTTAACGATTTTTTTTCTTTATTCGAATATTAAATTGACAATTTCATTTGTAAATGTATCGTCGTCAGAGCAAACAGCCGCAAAAAGTCGAGTGAAATTCATTGTGTTACTTTTAATGAGCTTGAACTAATTAAATAACCAGAAAGTGTTTTCTCCATTAAAGCAAATTTTAATAAATCCCTTTGTTCTCTTTCTTTTCTGCTTTTTTTTCGTTGTAGGTTGTTATGGGTTGCAGCGATTTGCCGAGCAGCCAAAGTACACAGAAGTGAATCCGGGCGAGGATGCGCTGCTCACATGTAAAATCATAGACAAACGGGGCGGTTGCTCATGGCAAAAGGATAATAAGGTAAAAACATATAGAGAACAATAAGGTGAAATCAACTGATTTAAATGCGAAATTTGGTGTATAAATCAGAATGTGTGCAAAGTACACATATACACACAACCAGCCCAACGAAATCACACACGGTTTTCCAATTGAGCGGAGAAGAAAATGGAGCAACAACTGTTTAAGGCATTCCATAGGCCCTTTGAGATAATGTGCAATTTTGCCATCGTATAGTTTTCGGTCGTTTCCAAATGTATGGAAATTAGAAAGTTGTAGCCTTGCACGCTGGCTAATATCCAGATTATTCTTGCCAGCCTCACCAAGTTGTGTCGTTTTCCTTTAGCTAGGATTCATTTTAACAACGACATTCTATGTTAGCATTGCAATGAAATAAAAATACGGTACATATTTAAACAAATACAACATACATATTTATAGGGCAGCAGCTGACACACATGCACCGTACGACAGTAACAACGACAAGACGAAGCGAAACGAACGAAGAAAGCATAAAAGTCGCTCTGGGTTTCATGTAGTGAATGGAACAGGACACAGATAAGAAATGAACAAAACGCTGCTGCGAAAGCTCACACTCGCATGTGAATATGTCGAGCACAATGTGTAAAAATGTGAGGGAGAGAATGTTACACATTTAACGATGCAAATAGAGAAAAACAAAGACTGTTCAAGGAGAAGAAAAAAAAACGAAACGAAAAGCAAGAAAAAAAAACGGGTAACACAGCACATGGAAAAAAAGTCCAAAAATCAAACAAAACACCGAGTGTAAAATGTGAAAACAATGGAAAAAATATAAATTTTAAGCTCCCCGACTATGCAAAACAATGGGAATAAAAGAGCCACGGCTGAAAGAGCAGTTTTCTTTGTTTGCTTGATGAGTATGGAAAGCGTCAGTCAGAGCATGAAAGGGAGCTCACGCGCACATATCCACTCATACATGCTTGCTACACTTCAGGCGACGGCACATATTGCCACGTGCATAATTTTGAATTCGACAACGCTTCAAGTGATTTGTTTTGTGTATTTTTCGTTCCATCACTGTGTTGCTTTTTATTTTCGCTCGGATTTATTTCCCTTCCCATTTATGCATTTCGTCGTTCGCGCCAGGCATGCGACCGTTTGTGCACTATCATCAGGACAGACATCGTGTATTACCCGATTTCATATTCATATATTCCGTAAAACGAATGAAAATATCTTGATGTCATCTTTAAATATTACATAAATTATTTTATTATTGAGTGTTTTGCGTGCCTTATGCGAGCATATCGTTCAGTCGCCTCTGTTCTGGCATGATCGCATTTGTACATTTGCTTGCTCAACACTTGTGAGAGCGAGCTCGATGCTCATGCCTGTGTGCTCCACAAACACCTCTTCCGCTCGCTTCGCAACGCATATGGCGCTTTCGATTGTTTACGCAACACATTCGCGCTTTTCATTCCATTTTTTTCACATCCGTGCTGTCGCCGTTGTAGCGAGTACACCATTCTCCTGGTCGTGCTTTGATTTTTACCGTTTTTTCATTCTCCTTTATCTTGTCTCGTTATATATGCTGCTGCTATCACGAAATGAATACAACACACTTGCTGTGATATAATGTGATACAATGATTATTATCATGTGTCGGTTGTGGTGAATTTCCATGGGCTTTGATTGTATGAACATTTGTCTGTTTGTATGAACATTTTTCTTGATTTCTTTTTGAATATTTCGCCAAGAGCACGGTCCCAACGAGCACGAACTTCAATAATATACGATGTCTGTTTATGTACCTGCAGCGTTTTTATTGTTCTCCGGCGCTTGCATACGCTACCGATGAAACCAAGAAACATCTACTAATCGTGTGATTAGCAGCCACAGACGAACTGAAATCCAACTGAATTTTGACACTCAAAGTGCATAAATAATAAATGTCGCGCGCTCGTCTTACAACAGGCATTTCTCAGGTTAACACATATAACACTCACTACATGCGTTTCCATTTATGGCTTATATTACAACGCGAAACCATTTGTGCACGCAAATCCAGCATATTTTTCTTATTTCTCTGATAAAAAGTTGAAGGCATTGTACATATATGTTCGTTCATTGAATCGGTGAAAACGTAAAGAAACGTTATGATTATGATGTATTATTTTTATTATGAACACACACTTGGCGATAAAATTTCGTTTGTTGGTTATAAATCTTTCTGGCGCCGAGTTACGATTTTTTTCGACTGACACATCCCTTGAAGTCGTAAAAATCACGGATAATTGCGAAACAAGCATAAATAACAACAATACCGTAATAAACGATGGTTTGGTATCACGTAAAATAAATCTCTTTGAAATTGGTTGAAAGCAAGGCAACACCGTAGCTGTCTGTCGAGCAAACAATTTAAATAAATGTCATTTCAATTGGCTCATCTTTTTAGCTTGAGTTTGTGTGTGTATTTGGTTTACAATTATGGGTATCAGCTTTGATGAAGACACCATTTTTTGCGGAATTTAATTTACCTCTTGGATTTGAAAATTGAAACTCCCGTATTTGAATAACATTTTCGTAGAATTCTTTGGATGAAAAATTAAACGCAATCATTTTTGTTTCGTTTCCATTTTACAGCCAGTGGGAATTTATCCGAAAAAGTATGAATGGGCGGGAACAACATCTTACGGTATGCCAGGAATACCATCCCAGCATATCGGCGGCGATTGTTCACTATGGATTCGAGCAGCAACAATTGACTTTGATGATGGTGCCTGGGAATGCCAAGTGACTGCAAGCGATTTCACGACTCAAGATGCTCTAACCAGTCAACCAGTTCAACTTGTTGTGCGAGGTAAGTTTTACATGTAAAAAGCATTCTCCCGCCAAATATTTCATTTTCACAAAAGAACACCGCAACTGAGTAGACTGGCTGTACGATTTTAATACGTAGAGTCTACAGCTTTCAGTGTCGAATTGCGTCCTACTTTCCCTGTGCGGAAAAGCTAAAATATTTCAACTTAATAACCATTTCATCACTAAAATATTCGTTTTGGAAATGAATTCCATCCGCATGGAATTCCATATTTTGGCGTTGCAGCAAGACTGAATGGTTTTCCAGAACAAAACCAACATTATTTTTTTCGTCCGACCAGCGAAATAAATGAATGAGCAAAAAAGCTCTCAGTTTATTCTGTGAAAATATTTTCAATATTCATTTGAGAAGTGTTGAACCAGATAAAACAATGGTTTTTTGGTGTAGTAACGAGAAAAAAGGGTCTGCGGGTGAAAGTGAAAGTCCATTGAAAAACCGCAACAATCACTGTGGTGTTCACAGCCAAGTGGCGAAATACCGAAAATCTTAACTCTCTTTGAGCGGGCTTGAAACTTGATAAACAGAGAATGCCAAGCGAATACTTCAGAGAAATGAAGATCTAAAATATGCGCCTCTGACAAATAAATTAACAAAAACAAAAGAAAAATTGTTAAATGTTCTGTGACTTTGACTTTTCGCATTCTGTCTGCGAACGGAAAATTGTATCATTTTTCCTTGGAATTAGATTGTTCTCTGTCGTTCGTGACAGTCGACTTCAGTACAACCCATGGATAAAAGCACAACATTTCGAAGAGGGCAAAAGCGTAACGAATGTGTGAACATTGCATTTAGTCGGCGTTTCTCGTCTGAACACATAGTTCCCGAACTAAAATAAATCGAAAAGCAAAAAAAATGCGCACACAAACATATCGAGGAATCGGTGAGCATCCGCATCACACGAGTGTCCAAATTAAATGATATTGTGTCGTACAACACACTCCGCAAGAGAATGGCAATGAATGTGTGTGTAGAAAAGTTGGAGCACACATTCCTTAAGTGCTTAGAAAAGTTTTGAAAATAAAGTTTTTCAATAAGCAATGGAATGTTTATGTTGAAAAGGCACATTTTTGATACGTCGTTCGTGTGCATAGCTCTCGCTTTCTCTCTCTCTCTCTCTTGCCCGCATGAGAGGATGCTTTTATTCGATTTACCCTTCTGCTGTCGCACGCGTTTCATTGCTTCCATGGTCTTGCATTCAAACGGCATGAATGGCGAGCATTTTTTTTTCTGTCGTAATTCGTCTATTTTTCGTTCGCACCATTTGTATACAATGTGTTCAGTTAACGGCTTTGTTCAGCGACAAGTGTGAAAAGTTTACCATGTTTCAGGCCACTGCCACTAATAATGATCTTGATGATGGATCGATGCATGCCAAAGCCATTGTGTATTTGTACGCTGCTGAACACATTTTCAACAGAAAATATTTGTTCTTCGTTTTTCAATCAACTTTAAAATGCTTTGCGAAAGGTAATGGTTTTACTTTTTGAATGGACGAGGACATTCAGTTTGAAAACTTATCACAAAAACTACTTTGGCTACAATCGCTCGACAATGACTCGTGTCCATTTCCAATATGCGCTTTCGTTTTGAATGCGAAATTACACTTTTGTCACCCGGCCTCACACATCGACCCCACAATGTCATCGACGACGACGACGACAACAACAACGATCGATGCTCTTTCATTCGGTACAACGGAAGCATTCCATTCATACGTATGTAACGTACAATGGAACATATATTATACCAACAAAGTCGTAGCAATTGCAGACTTTGTGAAGCACACACACACACACACGCTCGCACACATTCACAATTTTTCTGACTTCATAGATGTGCTTCTGTGATTTTTTAGCAATATAATCGGGCCCAATGATGTTCGATTCAAACTTATTTTTCGCACAAGAATGTGTCGCGAAGAACACATTTATTAAATTAGAAAAACACACAAACCAACAAATAACCATTTTATTTAGTCAAGAATACAAAAGTTTTTCATCTCAATATTATATTTTGAACTGGAAAAAAAGGCGGTCGAAATTTATATCGAATGAAGAAAAAGAATGAAAGAAAATGGCACAAAGAAACGAAGAGAAAAAAGTCTTCAAACAAATTCCTTTTTCATTGACTTATTTATTTGTTATTTTTCAATTTTTTCAAATGATCAACAAAGAAACGCCACTACTAGGAATGAGAAGAAAATTCGATACAATTTTATTTGATGAATGTGGCTGGAAATGTGACTTCGAATGAGCTCAGACGTGTAATTTGTGGGCTTTTTTTTGAAAAAGTTATTTCTTAAAATTGGTCTCGTTACAACCTTCCCCCAGCTCCACAATGAGACCAAGTGGAAAAATCTAGGGAAAAATACTTTCGTGGCGAGACTTGAAAAAAGAAGCCGAACCAATTATATGCTTCACATTGTGAACAATTAGAGGGAGTTTACTTGGTGAATTTTCAAAAGCCAATTAAAAAATGGCTAAATTTTTGAATTGTGATCAGGTAAATGGGCGAATGGGAGCTTAATTCTTATTAAATCGACCAATTATGCAATCGAGATTGAAAAACTCAGCTCGCGCCAAATTAAGCACAACCGCACGCTATTTACGCAACCTCACTAATTGGATTTCATTCACATTATCTTAAGCCATGGATAAGACACAATTGAATTGAAGAAAACTTGGGTCATTTCACGAAGGGATTATTCATTGCGGCCATGCCAAATCTAATTGTTTCGTCGCAGTGTAAGCAAAACTGAAGGAATGGCGCATTGAATTGAATTTAGTATGCTTCACCGTATTGATCCACTTACCTTGACCAAACTGAAATATTATGCGTGAGAGAAAGAACGAGAAAGAAGAAACGTCTGTGAAACGGCGCGCCAAATGTTTTGGTATCTCAGACAACACGACCCACCAAAAAAAAAAAACATATTGATCGAATGCATTCGCAAAAGTTTTCAAACAAGTCGTCTTGAAACTTCGGTATAATTTGGCACAGATAAATAAACAATTTATTCAAATGAAAATTTCAACAAATGACTGACACAGAAAACGATTCGTTGCGTCAAGTGAAGATGTGGGGCGACGGGCATCAACTTGTAAATTGGTTTTAAATATATTGAGAAGCTTAACCAGAAGCACTCTGAAATGAAATTATTTAATTTGTACGCCGTGCTATCAGGTACGTTTCACCTTCTAAATGAATTTCGAGCACGAGGCATACTCTTGATATTCAGAGTTGATTTAACGGTCGTTATGTGCTATTCATTCGCTGTTTGCGGTAGTCGGTACGGATCATGGAGTACGTATATGGAAGTTAAAGTTCAAGAGTCTAGTCGGGCAAATAAATAGAACGTATTCAAAATCAATACGACGCGTATAATTTGTGTTTGCCGAATATCTGATAACAACGTCATTCAAACATGCGATGCTTCGACAAATTAATTTGAGCACCATTTTCACCCGTCAATAAACAAAGAGCATACAACAGCTTTTGTGGAACTGACATTTCGTTTCAATGCCTTTTGAGGTGTACATGTTACAACGCTATCAAAAAAAAAGTACCGAGCACATCCTTTTCAAATGGAAAAAGCCAAGGAAGTGGCGTCACAAAAGTACATTGAAAAGTCAAAGGTAAAATGTGAAGCGAAACTCATGTTTTGCTCCATTTTGTTTTTCATTTGAATTCAAGAATAAGAAAAAAAAAGCGAAAACATGCGCTAAAAAAACGTCCTTTGTACCATCTTTGGTTACGAGGTTTGTTGGGCTGCTCATTTCTGGTCATAAAAAAGAAAAGTTTTTCCCAATGAAACTACGAAAGAAAATGACCTATTAATTTTGGTTGAGGCATTTTTTGCTCCGACAAAAGAAAGAAAAAAATGACCGCCATTTCGCCATTTCGCCATTTGGTTTTTGTGTTTTCAACTTGAATGTTTCCGCGTAAACACCATCCAAACAGTAGATATAAATTACAGCAAAACAACGAAATAAACCACGTGCAAAAGTACAAAGATGAAAAATAGCACTTTCGATTTGTTTGAAAATAAAAATGCGACGCAACAACGTTGCGCCGAAACCAACGAAAATATACAGACACAATAAATTGCCAGTGCCCAAGTAGCTCTCTCTCACTTTCTCGCTAAACATAGTATAAACAGAGGCAGCGTGCAGAAAATGCAAGGATCGAGCAGAAAAAAAACGAACTATTCATAAAAGCATGCTGTGGATGCAGCGCGCAACGCAATTCCGTATTATATTTATGGTTGTGTTTCTCGTTATTCTGGCTTCGTTTCTCTCGCTTTTCATATTTTAGTCTGCATCAACTTGATATTCCTATGCATTTGAACGCTCTCATGATTCGATCACACATTAAAGAAGCGCTTGGATTTTATTTTCGTAGCTCGACAATTCCTTCCAATGATAAAAAAAATAGTCAAAGTCAGAATTTTTTGCTCTTGCTTCAACATTTTTTATGTGCTTTGTATCGCATTCATCTTGCCGCTTTAAAGTCGTTCTCTCTCACTGTTTGGCTTCGGTAGTGTGTTGTTCCCGGGTACAATTTAAATGAAATAAGGCCAACAGAGAGAGAGAAAGAGAGAGAGAGTGAAGCAACAACGAAATGAAATAAATAAGCGGGTATCATGGCACAATAAGAAGCTACAACATGGCGGAACTATCAAAAACATATAAACACACTGTGGCGAACACGGAGTTTTCTTATTAAAACCAAAAATAATTATACGCTCCAAAAACACACACACACACACTCACAAAGCCAGCTCAAAACCGGCTGAAAAAGGCGGTGCAATTTTTTTGGTCGATGCAAAAATGGTGAGAGAATCTTGTTTACAAAGACAAAAAAGTACATCGTTGAGAAATGTCGAGTTTTTTGTGTGGTATAAAAGCCTTTTGTCTGTAAGCTTTACCATTTGAACGCACAGAATAGCTGAGATACTTTTGGCTAGCTTCAATTTTTTTTACTCCACGTTTATCTTTCTTGTCTTTGAAAATACAGAAGGAGACTACGTTTCACAAGGCTTTTAGTATTTACGTATTAAAATTCGAAGTTCAATGGTGAGCAAAAGTCTTATGGCATTTTTTTTTTTCGCTTGCAAGAGATATCAACAGAAAAGAAAAGCCGTGGCAAACAAGTGCCATGAAATTGAGTAGCAATAAGCAGAAGGTTTTATGTTAAATACAATTATTTTAAACATTCTTTTTCTCTGTCGCACCAAGAAGACCAAGAGAATTTTTCCATCAAATGCAATGGACGAATTAATGGCTGATTTTCCACTTTTAAACAATGTCGAAAACAGAAAAAAAACGAGTCGTCTAGCGTCCAGATCATTGTTATAAGCAATCTGTCTCATCTCATTTTTGTCGACTTATATTCAAGCACTTTGACCAACCATTTGAAATTCCAATATCTCGAACATTTCTCTCTCACATTTGCCATGTCTACTCGTCGCACTTTTTTTCCATTCCTTTTTCTATCGGAATATTTTCAGTCAAGATTGTTCCGTTCAACTTCCACGTTTTTTTTTAAAGCATACAGTAAAATTTATTCACTTTTCTTTCCATTGCAGCTGCACCACAACGACCAAAAATCGAACACGAAGGCCTTCAAGTACCACCTGGCCATAATGTAACTGTTGATTCGAAAGCGGTGGCCACCGTTAGCTGTGTTTCCCACTACGGTAATGTTGAGCTTTGTCAATTTTAAATCTTAACCATACTTATTCTTTAATACTTTTTACGTTATTTTTTTTGCAGGCAATCCCCCAGCAAAAATTAAGTGGTTGTTGGGTAAGTGTTGAACAATTGAACGTCATGGCATGACGACAGCGACGACAACGACGAGAGGATGAAAGAACCAAAACCCAGCCGCACTCGTATGAATTGCAAAAGTTTGCTGTTGTGTGTTGTGTTTTAATTAAGTTGTTTTAACGTGAAATGGCCACACTCTTCGTAGCTGTCGATGCAGCCATATCTTTTATGTGTACATGGCGGGGCGCACAACAGCAGCACATTTTATAGTGTTGACCTCATATCTCATTGGAGTGTGTGTGTGTGTGGAAACCAGAACTGGTGCCACATACCGGCCTTCTCAAATAGGGCTGCACATATGGATGAATTATTACGAACATTCATTTTATCGAAGCCACGCTATGCCTGTGCTCCTTTTTTTTACTATGCAAACGGGATTTAGCCAAACTACTATGGAAAAATATATACCGTTTACTTGAAACGGCACTTTGATTCCTTTCTCACTCTCTCGCTACGTTTTTTTTATAATATGGGAAATAAGGTTTCGCTCCAGCGGCTGTTGCTTTTACATATTTTGCCTCGTATTCATTTCATTAGCCACAGCAGATCGTTCGTTTCTGCGCGAGAGAAAGACAGAGAGTGAGAGAGAGAGAGGCTACGGAGAAAAAATTATATTTATCATAAAATCTGTTTTGCTGCACGAGCGAGCGATTAAATGGCCAATAAATTTCTCTCTTTCTCCGGGTTTTTATTTTTGGTTCGTCGATGCTTTTCGAAAAAGTATGAAAAATCTTCTCCGGTTTGTCGATAGGGAAATGGAAAATATATGGTCATGATTAAAACGCTATCAAGGAACATGGCGTAAAGTAGGAGAAAAAAAAATTAAGAAAACTTTTCAAGTTGTAAAAGAAAATTGTTTGTGCAATTTTAAATTGATGGCAGAGAAAAATCTCAAATTTTGTGAGTTTCAGAAACAACCGAAAAAAAAAAACTGAAAAAGAAGTAGAAGTTAAGAAAAAGAGCGACGAAGCAAACGATGCTAAATAAAATTGTTGGGAAAATTCTTTGACTACTTTATGAAAAATGATAGATGAGTAAAAGTGGATCCAAACAAATGACTGAAATTGCTCATCAAGAATGCAAATTATGTGCACTTAATTGACTTATTTTTCAAAGAATTTTTCCTGTGCTGCTCCTACACCCGATTTCAAACGTAACAGCACTTCTCATTTTTATGCATTTTTAATTGGAACTTAATTATTCGCTGTATATGCGTGCGTGTGGTTTAGCGATAAAAGTGGTTGGTTCGTCCACAGTAATTAATTTCCAAGCTTTGAATGCTTTATCAACTCAAATTTCAAAAGAGTATTTCCAGTACGATTTTCGGTCATGTCATTGGTGTAAAATTGCAATTTTCCACTTCAATGGAATTACGATTAAAACGCAAATGCGAAAATTAATTTTCAATTCACGGTACGAGTGCGGTTTGTGTTTATGTCCCCAGAGAATTTGCATATAAATTAATCGAAACATTCTTTACAATTCGTTTTTTTTTGTTGTGCTTTCCTTTCCATGAATCTGTTTTATGTATCCGCTGTCGCTGCTGCTGTTGCTGCTGCTACTGGTATTTCGGGTGCAATTTCATCGATTTGGTATCATTTGCATTTGGTGTGTTTTTTTTTGGCGAAAATGAATGGAAAATAATGCAGGCGATCAAGAATTACAGCCGCTCCATACTCAAACAAATAAACGTGAAACAGGTAATAATCGAACGTGGTCAGCCACATCGATTGTTCAAATTCCAGCGACTCGAGAGCGTCATGGTGAAACCATAAAATGTGTTGCGCTCCATGAATCATATGCAGCCAAATCGTTATCGGTGGACGCAAAATTGGATGTCAAATGTAAGTAACAATTGCTAAAATACTTTGCTACCAACTCACCCAACTAACCAACCAACCAGCCAACCATCCAATTCAATATTCAATTCCATTCCATTTCGAAAACCACCATCCCATTGCGAGTGCAGCACCGAACTGCATATTGTTATCGCATTTTGCACACAATCGTTCAAACATATCTTGAACCTAGTGTGTTTTGGTCGTTCAATGACATTTCATGTGTATAGTGTATATTCAAATGCGCCTTGCAAAACGGAACACGACGATCATAATTTAGCTGTCTCTGTGGGTGACACATTTTTCAGCACAGCATATCCGTTTTGGCTTTTATGCTTATTTTTGGACATTTTCCTTTATCATTTTTGCAATACCAATAGATCCGCCCACGGTTCGATTACTCGGCGCACCACAAATCGATCTCGAAGAAGGTAAAGACTCGTTAGTTTTGCGTTGCGAAGCCGATGCAAATCCACCGGCCAGCATCGTGTGGAAACGTGCCGGACGATCCGAAATAGCTAGTTTACAAGTAAGTACAACGTTTAATGTGGTCCGTTTTTTTCTCGCTTTCTCGTCTCCTCATTCGTTTCTCGTTCGATATTAATTTATTGATGCCGTGAACTCGAATGTTTCCGCACAATGAAAAGCCAACAATTCAATTTCGATCGAAAAACGAATACTATTACCACCGCATTCTCGAAACTCTGAAACACAGCCAAAATGTTTAATTCTATTAAATATACGGTATGAATGTCTGCAGTTGCCATTTTGGTTTGTGTGTTTCTGCCCGTTTTGTTCAACCAACAACACGCTCGCTACATGTTTCTAGATAAGAAGCGTTTTGACAATAAATCACCAGAAATAATAACAATTACGATGTTTTCTCTTTACTTGTTTTTCTATTTGCCTTGCTGCTGCTGCTGCCGATGTTGCTGGTTGTGCGTGCACAGGAAACGTTACAACTGAGACCAGTCGGACGACGTGATGCCGGTTTGTATACGTGTCAAGCACAGAACTCAGTTGGAAGCTCGGAACAATTATCTGTTCAATTGGATATTAAATGTAAGTAAAATGCCAAGCTCAAATAGAATTCAACTGAAGTAGAGGTTGGGGTTGGAGAATGAAAGGGTTTTTTTCCATCGCCACATGAGAGAAAACCACTTCACAACAATGACTTTATTTCAAATTATTTCAAAATTTGTACATAAACTAATCCGAATGATATTATGGTAATATGTGCCATTGAATGAATTGGTCTGAGGTTTATGTCGAGTTGTCGTGTTGTGATGGCATTAATAAAGGACGATTACCATTGGAAATGTGCAGCGGTTTATTGATTGTTGTTGTTGCTGCTGCTGTTGCTGTTGTTGTTGTTGTTGAGAAGAAGACGCCATTCCGAGAAAATGACATAACTGCAAATGACTTAATGTCATGCAATTTTCTCAAATTTCCAGAACGAACAGTGAAAAAAAAGGAACGAAGTTAAAGCTCTTTTTTTTGTCGATGAAAATGGCAATTTTATATTTCACCGAAGTTTTCAAGTGTCTGCGAAACGGCGAAAAGTAAAGAAAAAGACATTTCTCGCAATCAAAGCCAATTGAAATGTTGGAAGGCGGAAAAATAGTGAAAATTATGTCGATTTTTATCGGAAAAGGAAACGAAATCGTCGAATGAAATTGGCTGTTATTGCCTATGCATACATACACATTTTTGCGCCAGCCATGTTATTTTGCACACTTCTCGCGTGCTTCATACCGACAAATCAGGTTTTTTTTCTCTCTCGGCAACGACGATGAGTCGAACCGTTTTCGAAGCATTTTTCGCTTTTGCATACACAGCGCGTCGTGCGTGCTCATTTTATATCCGTATTACGCTCATTTTATTCGAAGCTTTTTTATTTGTTTTGTTGGGCTCTCTCTCTCTCTCTATGCCCATTGCGAGCGCGATCGTACACCATTTTATAAAAATGTACGTGCATAAATTTTCATACTCCGCATTCGTGCATTTGTCCCAACCATCGAACATACACATATCGCGCGCGAATTTAAGTACACTTTGTTCAAATAAATGCGATACAAGCGCTGAACATACATTGCGATAAATGTGAATTCACAAAATATAAATATTTTTTTATCTGATATCTTTATTACGCAATAAATTCCCATTCACACAAAAGCAGTTGAAGGAACGAGAAAAAAAAATCCCGTTGATATTTTCACTTTGCGTCTCTATTGATTGTCTCCTTTCCCTTTAACACGTTCGCTCGCCCAGTCTCATTCGCAAACTTGTCTTCTCGACAACGATTGGACAAGTGCCAATATTGAATGGTGTTTTTAATACGCATCACGAGCACGACGATGATCGAAGCGATTTTTAAGCATTTCGTTCGTTTCGCCGGAGAAAATTTATTCCAACGTTACTGCGCTATTTTATCTGCTGTTTATTTTGCTTCTTCGTTTTTTTCTTCAAACATATTTTTTTGCTTATCGAGGAAAATTGTGCGTGGCTGGTAAATAAGCTTTTCTGCATGAGTAAAATGACAGAAAACATCCGTACAGACATGGTGAATGATATTGGGCTGATACCGGCGCGTCGGAAGTATGGCTCGTGAACATAAAATATAACCGGACAGACAGCAACGGAAAGATGGTTTGAATGTTGAAGGAAAGAATGATTAAATAGAAAATGAGAAAGAGAGATCAGATTAAATATTTCGCTGATGCTGGATCGCTGTGTGAAAGCACAAAGTGAGCGCCGAGTATCCCATCAGACGATGCAAATGTGCAATAATAATAATTCACAACATAATTTCTTTTCACTTGCCATCCAAGCGGCAATGTTTGCTCACTTAAGCTGCGATGTCAAGAGTCATTTATTGAACTCGCTTCAAACATTTCATTTTCCATTTGTTTTCGGATCGATCACATTTAAATAAACATTTAATCGTTTCGAAAGGCAACGACGACGACGACTACGACGACGACAAGAGAGATTCCCCCGTGTACTCAGGCCGTCATGTAATAAAGTTCGTTCAGCATGTTCATTTGATAAATTACTCCGACTGTTTGTTTGAGTGGAAAGTTAATTTTCATCGTTCATCAAAGGGGAAAACTCTCAAGTTTGCACGCGTGAATAGAAACTTGCATTCAAGTGTTTCATGGCTATTTGCAGAATATTTATCAAGTTTTATTGCATTTCGAACGGAACGCTGACGGATTATATGAATTTTACTGCATCGGCCAGCAATAAATTCTACAAATTATGCTAATATTCATAGCGAAATGCCAATTAAAGTTCGATTTTTGTTTTCATTCCATTTGATAAATGATGATAAATTAAGCGGTATTTATTGATTTTTGTTTTTTTTTTTTTTGCAACACCGACGTGCAGATGCACCGAAAATCATATCGGCCGGACCAGATCGTTTAACAACTGCACCGCTCTACAGTCCCGCGGCGTTCGAATGGTACGTACAGAGACTGTTTCACCTTATAATTTCATTATTCCATTTTTTTATTGATGGCTTATTCTCACGAAAACAATTGATAATATTGATTTTTTTGTTTCATAAAAAATAGCGTTGCAGAGGCGAATCCACCAGCTACATTCAAATGGTATCAACGTATGAAGTCTGGTTACTTGGAACGAGGTCATGAATCACGTTTGGTCATTGACAATGTAACTTACGACTATCAGGGTGAATACGAGTGCCGAGCAACGAATTACATCAACGGTCAAGAGAGGACAGTGGCCTCTGAACCCGTGAGTCTGCAAGTAGTCGGTGAGTGATCTCGGTCTCATTTAAATAAATCACCACAGAGAATAGAGAAAAAAACAATGCAATTATAAAACTACTAATTCAAACTGAAAACTAACTGCAAAACTTATTTTCACCTGTTTGTACGTAATTAGGTGCACCCCAAGTATTGCGTTCGCATCCATCTTCACACACAGTATCCGTTCGAAAAGGCGAAGAAGCAATGTTAACGCTAATCGTTTGTGCCGATCCAAGACCACGACACGTGGCCTGGGAATGGGGTTCATTGCGATTAGAAGCCGGTGCTGGATTCGGTACATACAAAAAAAAAACCAAAATTTTTTCATCTCGTGTAAAATTAAACAAAAAGCAAAATCATTGGAATTTCTTACACTTCAATGATTTGCGCGCTGTGGTTTTTTTCTAACGTGATTTTCTGTGTGTTGTCTTTTTTCCAGAGCGATATCATGTCGATGAGCTATCGCAAGATTCGCGAGAAGATTGCTATTTAGCCACATTGCATATTGATAAGGCCGATATTCATGATTCGCGACCATACTATTTGGTCGTTGAAAATGAACGAGGTATCGATCGACACGCAATTAATTTGGTCGTCGAGGGTATGTTCACAGGTGCTTTTCCCAATTTATTTTTCATTAAACTTACTTAATTTTATGGTTTATTCAATTGCAGTTTGATTAGTTTATTGGTCAGCTTCTTCTTCTTCCTTTGAGTTTGGTTCGAATGAAAAATCAAATTAATTTTGAATGTGTTGATGTTTATTTATGTCGTCTCAAATGAGTTGTTATTTTCTTTGGAAAACAAGGAATTCAATCGATTCAGAATGAAAGCGACTCTGGCATTCTTCGAATTGCTCGGGTCAAGCGAGTTATGCGAGTTGATGAATAATTCAATGAATTTCAAGCAGTACGGTGTACACTGCACATTCTTCCTTTTTCAAACCGATACGAAAATTAATCAGAATTTCCTTGAACACGGAATGTAAATTATTCTCATTAGCATCAATAGTAATAATTGCCACTTATAACAATAATGATAATCAAATTCTCCACATTACCGAGAAATGGTTCTAGTTGTGTGAGTGTGTGTGTCTGTTTATAACGTGTTCATTTAACGATTGAACAAAAATATCACTAATAATAATCGCCATCTGACACGACGGTGAACCCACTCACAAACAACATTCCTGGAATTACTGAGCCAATGAACTTTATAGCCGAAGATAATATTCATTATCCATTTGAGAGTCTCGTCAAAATTCACGCAATTGCGCTTTAGCATTAAATTATGGAAAAACATCAAACAAAAGTTCGCGTTCTTCTTCGTCTATATTTTATCATGAATGCTGGAAAAACACATTTGCAACGAGTGTTTTATTTTTGTCCTTATTTAGAACATTTACCCAACAGAGCTATAAATGAACACATTTGAACCGGTATATTTGCTATGGCTTCTCATTTGCGTTCGGAACACACTCACTCACACGTAATTCATATCGCGATCAATAATTCACAAAGAAAAATTAAAAATAAATTATGCGCACGTCTTTTGACGTAAACGCAGTGCTGCCACAAGGCAATAGAAAAGAAAGAAAGCGCAAGAAGAATAGCGTATATCGACAACGTGAGTGTACTTTAAGGCTTTCCAGACTGAGTTTTCAATGAAGCAGTCAAACGAAATGGAAAAAGGAGATTCTCTTATGGTTTCGATGTGTGATCCGGTACTTTCCTTACAAAACGGTACACAATTCACTCGATTCGGAATTTGTATTCATATTCATATCGTAATTTATTCGGTGAAGTGTTATGCATTTGGAGTAAAATGATAAATCATCGATGTGGAAAAATTAAATGGTTTTTTTTTCGTTCGCTTTTAAAATGAATTCTCGTTCACTTCATATTTTCATGCGCGCACGTCATTTATATTCGCTCGCTCGGGTTCTTGTTTATTTGTACATATTTATGTTCACAACACGAGCGTAATTTAAACTCATCACCAGTGTACAAAATGTCGCTGCCACTAGAAGTGAAAAATCTCTCTTTTATTCATAATGATCGAGCAATTGAAGTTGACGCTTGTAGCCTTTGAGATGCTACCAACTTACTGACTGCTTTTGAAATGTTTCATGTTTTCCTGTCTTTCCTGTTCGTGCATAGAAAATCACAAAAGTCTTGTCGTTTGCAAACCAAGAGTGAACAGTCATGCTTTTCAAGAGTAGCTCAATTCGATTAGTTCTCCTTTATGAACAGTATACTGTTTTTTGTTGTTCGGTATAAACGGTATAAACACAAAAACAACATTAAAAATCTTTTGAATCATAATTAAAAATTAAAAAGATATGACAATTTCAACTCAGTCGAATTCTGCTCCATTAGAGCTAAGTGTATACGTATAAAATGTTTCATAAAGTCAACATGTTTACAATGCTGTATTCGACAACAACGAGAAAAAAAACAACATGACGAATTATTTGGTCGTTGCGTTGAAATAAAAATAAATTTGGTCCGTTGTCGGTGAAAAGGACTGGGAATGTATATGTTTGCCGCTTAAAATTTAACAACTTTTCAATATCACTCACACTCTCTCTCACACATGCACACGTGCACGTGCACAAAGATATTGACATAAGTTCGCAGATGTAACACTCATTAAGCATGCTGAACTTTTTTACTCATCCAACAAAACTGGCTCAACACACATCGAAACGCGAACAGTAAAAGCCAAAAATTAACATCTGATTAATTATTAAATGTGTGCCTTATCACTGAGCATATGAAATGAGCGATGATGTGTCTGTTTACATACGTCCCCACACTTTTTTCTTCCATTCTACTGAACGCACACCCGATGATGAATACCCTCATCATGTGTGTGTGTGTGTGTGTGTGTGTGTGTGTGTGTGTGTGTGTGTGTTTGTGGCTGTTTATTTAAACAACTTCAGGCTTCTATCTATCAGACAGTAATCGCGCTCCGTTTGGTTTGACTCTCTACGAGAATATTGCTTTGCTTTGCTTTGCTTTGCTTTGTCGTTGGCTATTTTTATTCCCTGTCTATCGACCGGGATTCGATTCAACCTGAAATCAATTATTCAAAAGAGCTATCTATAATTAATTCCAACTGTTTTTCAACTCATTTTGATTCGTCATTCGACTTCACTTTGTAGGATTCTTGTTTGTATTATCTGGACGTTTTTTTTCCATTCATTGCCGTCTTTTTTGCCATACAGAACTTTTGTTAATTGTTTACTTTTCTCTTTATCCCTGTTTTTCCACTTTTATTGGACGCGCAACGAAAAACAAAAAAAAAACCACCAAAACAAACACATTGAATATGTGAATTATGAATGCCATGGAAAATAATCGTAAAGATCCAATGGAAATGAGCTATTTGCTTGGGATTGCCGGAGGATGCCTGACAGCTGTATTGCTTTTCGTTTGCTTGTGCATCTATGCGATTCGAGCGAGGAAATGTTGCTTCAAAGGTAAGTTTGCATCTTGTTTATTAGTATCATTTCAAGTGAAATTCAAACCATTTTTCACAGTCCAATGCACAGTAAAGATAATGAATGCCAGTCATGCTACTCTAGTTTATGAATAGAAAGAAATTCTAGAAAAAATGCAGTTCACTCAATGGCATGAAATCAAATATAAAATTGAGTTTTATCTTGACGAAAACTTTCACGTTTTTAGAAGAAATATGTAGAAAATGAAAACAAAAATGTAAAAAGCGCAAATTCTATGTTTTAATTGAGGAGAAAAATACGATTACCAGCGCGGTAACCATAAATGAACATGATTTAGTCAAGAGATACAAAGCACAAAACTCAGTCAATGCGGAATATGCTTTTCAAATTGGCAAACTGCTATCCATTTGATAAAAAAATGAAATTTTTCATTGTAATTTTAATGAAAGCCCACCCAGAGCTTATTTTCAGAATGCAAATGATGCATGGCAATACGGGAATCAGAATAAAAATGACATCTTTTTCGTGAAAATGAGTGCTTTGAAAGAGTCGCTTTAATCATCATCAATGGATTTTGTTTGAAATTTTGTTGTTCAACCCAATCGCTTAACCGAATTCTGTTCACATGAAATTACATTGTAGTAACTCAGAAGTGAAGCACAGCGGGATATCAGTGAACAAACCACGGAAAATATCACAAGCGAATTGAAGATTTTCCTGATAAATTCCCGGTTACAACTTCCATTGTATCCATACACACACATTTGTTCCCAACGGATTGTGTGTGTGTGTGTGTTTCGGTTTAACCAGCGAAAACAGTGTTAGTAGACGGTGTCAACTCGACCGAATCATATGCTGAACAACTTTCCAATTTCCATAGCCTTTTTCTACTCTCATTATTTTCGTATGCAAACACCTTGTTTTATTGCACTTGGCAAACATGGTTACTGCCAATCGATGCGAATGCTCAATTGTAAATTTCAATTTCTGGTAGTTCCGATCCCTTTGCATTATGTGCTCACAGCGGTCTTGCTGTACAATTTAGCCCGAAAAGCATTTTCCACACAAAAGTGACACCATCCAAATGCAAATATTGGAACGGTGCTGCTGGCACCAAGTTTGCCGTTGATGAAAGGTGATTCATTTATTATGCGCTTGCATCATTATACTTGTTATGTTCATGTTTGGGAAATATGTTTTCATTTTATTTTCGCATCACATGCTGCACTTTTTCTCATGGACTTTAAGAGATCACTGAAGCGTTATAAAATTAAATGCAAATTGATTGCTTTAAAATTGGGAAAAAAATCTAGTAGCACTAAAGCTTTTTCACCACTTTATGTAATTACTTGAGCTGAATAAGAGAAAGAGAAGGGGAAAGAGAGAGGAAGAAAATATAGAAGCAATGATTTGATTGCTGATAAGGTAGCATGACCTTTGTCACCTTTGGCAAGCTAGTTAATGACCGTAGATTTGAATAAATACGCACGAGTGGCACATTCACTCGCATTAATCTTAATTTAAATATATATAGAGAGGGAGGTTAAATTCCAAGATTTTTCATACCATTTTTCTTCTCCTTTTGCATTTACAGGTCGAGGAAACTTTAAATCCAGCGACAAAGACAGGTAATTAATGAGAATTCATTTAAAAAGTTCTACCTTTGCGTCGTTTTTCGCCGCATTTTCTGTTATGTAAACAATATAGAAATTTATTACAACCACGTTGCAACAGCGGAAAAGAGACGGTTTTGGGTATTATGTTAAAATCTCCGGTAAGAATAGTACTTGAGTATAGATGGCAACAGAAGAAAAAAAACTTGTGTACTTTTTTCTGTTAATGCACTGCGAGGAGTTGTGCTCTTGCCAGTTTGCGACTGTTCAATCAATGCGAACAAATTCGATGACAAATTTATTTTAAAACTTTTACACTCGAAATAATCGAAATGGTGTGTGTATGTGTGCGTTGTTTGTGATTTCGTTCTTCCCTATTCGATTTCACTCGATGAAAGTTTATAAACTACTTGTTCCATTTCGCTACGCTCTTTCGTCAAATGCGTTCAGGAGTTGGTGAAAAAAATAACACAAGATAAACATGAATTTCCCCGGTGATTAATTTTTTTTCCCTGTAAAAATGCAAATGGTTCATGTGCGTTTATTTCTGGAAAATAGGAAACTTGAATGAGCAATAGCAGCAGCAGCAGCTCATGAAATGTGATGGTGCCAGTGCAGAAACGCCATGGTTTGCGTATTTAACAATTATTTTAAATGCCTTGTCTAACGGCACCAACTTTAATATCATTTTAAAGATCACTGTTGATGCGCCCGTTGTTTTTTCCTTTGGTTGAGTATTCTTCTTCTTCTTCTTCTTCTTCTTCTTCGTTTTTTGTCTGTTGTTTTCTTCGTGTGGCGCTCGTTTAGCGCCAGCGTCGAATCAACAAAATGCGAGCAATGTGTGTGGTGGATATTCAGAAAGTTTGGCTTCTGATACTTGGTACTTGGTAAGTTTTCCGCTCGTTCGCATTTTCCCTCAGGTATGCTAATCACTTCGGTGGCGCTATTGTATTTTCGTGAACAGCTATTTCTTTTCGTCTTTTTTTTCTCTGTTTGGTCGCGTTTCACGCTGTCACCAGTCGCCAACTTTTTTCTCTTCTTCTTTTACGGAATATTGCCTTTTGTCTACGGGAATGTGCAGAGTTTCTTCATTCGAAGAACACAGCAAGAGCCAAAAAAATTTCCATCTCCCAAGGTAGTGATGAATAGCAGAAATGAGCATCGTGCACAGTTTTCGCCCAGCAGCTACAAATACCGCTGTCATTTATCTGAGTGAGCGCAAATGTTGAAAGTTCAACCAAGTTCGAAATGTGCACAGCGCATAAACACAGTTTGACCCACATCAACCAAAACAACCCCGTTCAATTCTCTTGCATTTTTTTTTTGCGAGAAAGTGAAAACCGACAAATGTCTTATTATAATGATGCGACCGTTAGATAACATTTCAAATGCCAGACGAACAATCAACGAAATGTTCTAATTACTTATAGTCGAAACTATCGAACGCTTGAGCTTCTATCGGCGATACACAACCGTCACAGTCACAATTTTACAGTTCAGTTTAATGAAATAAATGAAGGCAATCTCGAACACGATACACATCAAAATTTATTAAGATACGAAGTTCCGAAGCATTCATTATGCGATGCCCAAAGGGAAAAGAAAATCACAATTGACATTTCAATGGAATTTCATTGAGTGTATCTTGTCAGCACGAAAAAACTTGGGCGTCAACTGTTTTCGAAATTTAAATTTGAATGGGCTAGACGAAATAAAAACTTTGTGTTGCAATTAATTTTATCATTCCGCTTGGTGTGTATTGGAATCTTGGATTGGAATAAGCGCCAAATGCACAAGCATTTTGAATTGAATGTGTAGCGCAGGGAAAAATTGACGACAAACATGGGCGAAATGGCAAGTGCCAGACATATCATTTAAGTTAACGTTTGCATTAATTGGCGGCAAACTGTCATTCTTGTAGCAATTTTCTTCTCGCCTTTTGCCATTTCTGTTGTGTGCTTTGTTATTCAGTAGCAGCGGCCGCCTGCAGCTTGATTATATGCTGTTATTCGACATGATGATTGCAGTGGTTGTGTCGTTACGTAATTATAAAGATCGGAAAAAGAGCAATTACACGTATTAACAAAAGTTTTCGTTGCGATGTTACCATTCATACCAGACAACAACAATGGAATTTCCCAACTGCAGCGACCCCCCTTCAAAATAGGTCCCTTTTTATTATACACAACGACATTAACATCACAATGCTCCGTTTGAAGCATTCATCACATTTGTTACACAAATGACCCATTGAGCCGATTGTGACGTTTACGAATCCACCTTTTCTGTATTTTGTTATTATTGTTAACCACAACTTTTCAACCACAATTATCACCGTGTGCTGCATAGCCACGTGTAGTGACTGAGTGTTATGTTCATATTTGCGGCATGACCCCATCCCTCACATTGTTCATTTCCATTCGCTTGCATTATTTAGTGTCGAAAATATTTGCCGATTTTCATTTTTTATAAGCGTTGAGCTGTTGCAATTCTTTGCATACTGTGCCATTTTTCTTGATTTCAACGTCACATACAAAAGTTATAACATAGTTCGATGTGTGTCATTTAACGAATTCCATTGCGCATCGCATAGTTTACTGGGAAAAGTTTAAAACAGAAATATTTATTAACGAGATAATGCAACGGCATTTCATTGTATGGGAAAATTTAAAAGTGCTAATAAGGTATTCATAGCATGTTCAATAAAGTGTTTTTTTCGTGCGTATTTTACGTAAACTTTTAATTGAAACTCTGTAGTATACTGGCATGTTTCTGAACAAATTTACCATTCATGAATTTGAGAAAAAAACCAGAAACATTTTCACTTTTGAATACCGGCATTGTTTCCGATTGCTTTAATAATACCATGCATTGCTTGGATATTATAGCATTATTGACGCCAGCTCAACATTTTGCTCATTTTCAACCAAAAAAAAAAATGAAATGGCAGAGAGGTGTCGTGCAGAAAAAAAAACAGCAACCTCATAAGCATAATGAAAAAGTATAAGCCGGATAATGATATAGTTACTTCGACCTTTTTTCAGCTCGCTCGTTCATTCAAACATTGCCGTGGCTGAGTTTGCTGCTCTCCTTTTCTGTATTCGTCCCGAGCAAGCATCAAACAACCAAACAATGTCGTTATATTCACGAGCAACCACTTTTCACCATAATATTATGTGTAATTTAGAGACTTTTAACCTTTGGCTGGGCGACTTTATTTTTGATGAAATATGAAGGTCCTTCATTTGTTACACACTGCCGCCGAAACCACAACGAAAAAGAAAAATCACATGTTTTTTATCCCTTCTGTATAACAGTCGTGGTTGAAGTTGCGACAAGTAACCATTTTATTAGCCACTTGCATCGCATTCTACTTCCCCTGCGCTTGGTCACGAATAAAGAGGCATGAAGTACTCAGACCACCCATTCTTTTTTTATATTGGAACAACATGAACAACAATTTTCGGAATTTGTTCTTTTCTCTGGCTACTGTGCATTTTAATTCACCAGAAACCAGAATGGGCATAGTATTTATCGAAGTGCAATTGAATTTGTTGCTGCTAAAAGTTGCAATAATTATCAACTTATATGCTGATCAATTTGAAGAATGAGCAAAAAACAGTTCAATGCTTGTAGTTTTTTTTCCCTCAATTTTGGAGTTACTTGAATGCCAACATGCCAGTCAATTAAGATTCTTCAAACTTTTGATCAAACTACATTAGAACGAGAAATGTGTGTGCACACATTACACATGACTACATTCCGGATTTCTGCGTTAATGATCAGAGATGAAAGGTCGTTGATACTATCAAATGTGTACAAAACAAAATTGATTTTTCGGTAAAATCAATACGGCGATTTAATCCATATCGCTTTCATCTCTCAGACTCAGACATTTCGTAATGAAAACAGGAAAATTTTTACTTGAATTTGATCAAAGAGCCGTCGTGAATCCGATGTCACTGCGCTCTGGCACACATGCTACCGAAATCGAAGCGAAATCAAGTAAAAGGCGTAAACACAGTACCTTTATTACATTTTACTTTTATATGTGCGCGCTTCAATAGCATTTCCGTTTTTGGTATCGGATTCGTCGCCGTTGCTCATTCTTTCGCTCTCTGTCGTTGCCAAAGTTTGTCTTGTGCTTGTAAATCTTTTGTATTTGGCTTCAGTGAGCACATTTTGGTTTATATTTAAAATTCGGATCCAAACAATGCTTTGTGTGTTCGGTTTTGGTGTGAGCAGTTGGTGAGCATTGTTGATAAATGCAAACACATTGAACGGCTTTGCGTTCAATTTTTGTTGTTGGTGTTGTTTTTGTTGTGTGCTTCAGATGCACAAAGAAAAATGCGAGAATTTGCATGTAGATTGAATTGTATCTCGTATACAGACACACAAAAACTACCACAATTTAATATGTAAGAGATCTTTCTTAGCATTCGAACACGACTAATACAAAACAAACAAATAAACAAACTCGGTTGTCGTGTGGAAAATCGATTCTTGGTCCGTCGGAGAATCTCAAAAAAATACGAAGAGCCATCGGAGAGGGAAAAAAGCAGAAGAAACGCATTAAAATTTCTACCAATGTGAATTGGATTTGCATCCACACAGCGACCAGACATGCAGAGAGAGAGAGAGAGCAAAAAAAAAACTTATGAAAAACAACAAAATGAAAATGTAACGAGCATAGTAAATCGAAGGGTTTTGCTGTTCTCTTTCTTTTTGATGTAACAGATTCCAGTGTGGAAAATCGTATCGCCAACATATACTTGCATACATGTATAATTTGTATATACTGCAATGGGTTTAGCAAGCGACTTATTTTGCCGTATTTTTGATTTCAAAAGAAAATATTAGCAACTTATTATACAAGACATGCGATGGCGGCACATGAAAAATGAAATTTTGAATCCTGTGCATGAAATGAAGCAGAGAATAAATCTCCTGCTTTTTCGCCTTTCCACATTCATAACGGCGTTTGACAAATTTTTTGCTTCGGGCCATGAAGAAGA